CGGGGCCGGGGCCGCTCGGGGGCCGCCGGTGCCCGCAGCCCTTTCCCCGCACGTCCCCAGCCAGGGAGGGCGCGAGGAGGCGCCTCGCGCAGCGCTGCCCGCGGCCCCGAGCTAGGGCTGCGCTCCCGAGCGGCGCCTCGGCCGTGCCCGTGGCCGGGAGCTCCGTGCCCCAAAGGTGCCGCGTCCGTGCGGCTCGAGCTGGGAGCGTAGCCGTGAGCGGGGCCAGAATCGTGTCTGACATTCATGTGTGTGATAAAAGGTGTGATAAAACAGAAACTCTCACCGCTGCAGGGAACTAAAACTTGTGAAATGCAGTTTGGCAAGACTACGTATGGGTATGTTGCCTGGTAGAGCAAGTAGTGGGACTTGTTTAATTTTTGCTTCCAGTCTGTGCATGGAGTGAGACCTGCTTGACCCTGGCTGCAACAGTCCGTTTATGATGTGAAAATTAGCATTTATCATTAGTTGGAATGGAGATCTAGAGAAGTCAAGTTTGGTTCTGAGCTGTGAGCAATATTGAGGGGAATTGGGTAGTTTCTGTAAGTTGTATGTCATATAGGTTTGAACGCTTAAAAGTTTGGGGAGTTAATAAAAGAATTTGAAAGAATAGCTCCAGGCACCCAATACCACCCAGCCCATATTTTTGAAATATTAGTACTCTTTTGATTTGATTTTTGACCAAGAAAGGAGAATATGCTTGAAGCACCACTTGAACAAATGATGTGTAGTAAATACATCTAACTTCTATTTGTGACTGTGTTTATATGATAGCAGCGATCCCATGGCTTGCTTCCTGAAGCTTTAGTTTCAGAAACAGCGAAGAGAGCACAAACATTTTTATCAGGGTGTCCATTTTACCATTGTCAAGCCCTTGATTTGGGTTAGGTCTCGTTGAAGGCTGCTCTGGTTGGCTAGTGCATGAACCTTCACCACAGTTGTCTTCCTCGCTGGCTTTCACCTGCTTGGATGACTTGGATTGGGGACACTGCTGCAGAAGGCGTCTGTGCTGCAGGTCATGGAGTCACACTGGGTGGCTAGTACGGGGCTAGTCCCAGGTCAGTGGGGGTCTCCGTGGGTCTGTCCTTGCCTCCGTGCCATAGCTGAGCCCTGCTGAGCTCGAGTGGCCTTCAGACCAAAGCTTAACCGTGTGCGGGGCTCAGCTTCCCGCTGCTGCAGGCTGAGGGGAGTGGAGCTCAACCACCTTGCGCTCGATGGGAAATGGTCTCCTCTTCTAACCGCTCTTGGGTCACGGAGGTTCCGTGGTGTGCCAGGGTTCACCAGTGTGCAAAAATCACTCAGCCCAAAGAAGTGATCCTTTGATTATTTTTTTTTACACTTAACTTTGATTTGATTTTATAGCTAAGACAAATCAGTGAACTATGCTTTTAATTATGTTCTCACATACCTTAACGCTTTTTACGTTGAAATACTGAGTGGTGTCCCCTTTGTATTGGATTGTATGACTGTTTTAACAGGGGTGTGATTTGTATCCAAGAAAGGATAAAGTTACTGTCACCAAAAGATATCTGCTTTCATATCCCTAAACAACTTAAGATTTTTTTAACACCTAAATAATGTTGATTTACTTAAAATTTCCGTCTTAAGATTCCACATGTCTAGAAGTTAGAATTTAAGATAAAGTAGCATTATTTTGTTGACTAGAACTCCTTGTATTAAACTTACAGAAGGCCCAGGTGGTAGGGCAGGGGCAGGACAGTCCATGCAGATATCCAGATAAGGCCTCTTTAAGGGCTTGTATCCCATTCAGAATGGGGCAGGGCCAAAACAAAACTGGTCGGAGTAAAACATAGGTAAGCTGAGCTCATTCCTCTGGCCAGTCCATAAGCACGTCTCTCCTAGGCTCTGTCTTTGCCACATAGTGTTTGCGTTCTTTATTTTTTGGGGGATTGTAGGTTGCACTTCATTCATTCATTTCATTTTGAAGATTGAAACTGTTCTTGTTTTGTCAGTTACAACTGACATATCAACTAAAATGCCTACCCTCACAAGACATTCGTCCAGCTCCTTTGTTAGTAATGGCTACTGTAGTCACGGAAATAGAAGCTGGTAATGAAACCTTTTAAAATACTTCCTATTCAAGTAGGTTTTGTTAATCTTTCATTTTATAAATAGTTCTGTGAGCAACAAACTAGTGAAGGTCACCTTTCTAGGAAGACATCTTGAAGTCCAGCTTCTGCATAGTTTATGTGATGCCTAGAAAGGGTCGCAGTGCCTAGGTGAGGTGTTTAGTAGGGTTGTTGTGCTGCTGTCTGTTTCATGAATCTCCTAGGAGTCCCTGAGGGTCTCTAGCCATGTGTGAGATGCTGTTGGATGTGTTTGCATGCACGTGAAAGGCGTGTTTGTGCACCTGCCATGCCTTCTCTCCATACCAGCTTAGTGTGTATTTTGAGTGAATAGGCCGAGTTTTCTCGGGGATATAGACTAAACCAGAGTATTTCTGACTTTTTGTGAGGCAGAAGTCTTCATTGTGAGGACATCCAGCTCCAGAACAGGTGGCTGAGAGAACTTACCACATCTCTGTCCATGGAGATCTTCAAGAGCTGACTGGACGAGTAACCTGGTTGCAGTACAGTCGTTGGTGTCCTTGCTTTAAATAGCAGGTTGGACTTGGTGACCTCCTGAGGTCCCCTCTGATAAGAATGAGTTTTCCTTAGGCAATAAGGCTGAAAAGATGGCAGGAGTGAGGTTTCCTTGCCCCTGTGACTTTACTTTTCCAGTTCCAAGAAGTGAAATGTTTTTACAAGTAGAGAATTCATGATCCAGTAGAGTTTTACTTGGGTAATTAACAGTGCTTGTCTTGGACATAGAAGATACTGTCCCTCGTTTTGATGTTGCTGCATAGTATTAAAATACTGTAGCATTGTAGGATGAGGAAGAGTTGTGTTGGTGGTGGTGCTGAACGTAGTTCCATGTTACATATGCTGCAGAAATGAAACGAGCGTTTGGTGTTATATGAAGATGCAGTTGGTTATATTATTAAAGAGAGACACTATTTAAATCAATGGTAGGTGTAGGAATAGATTGATGGATGAAATGCCACTGGTGTGTTGCTCACCTAAACTATATTTGACTTGTGACGTCAGCTACTACAATAACTGTTGTCTTTGGCTAAAGAGCTGCTTTGGTTCTGTGTAAAAGGTACTGCTTCTGAAAATTCGATGAGTTAGCAAGGTTTCTTTGCAGAAGAAATATTTGAAGTTTTAGAAAGTAGATAGAAAATTATCCTCTAGATGGAAAAGATAAGAGGATTGAGATTAATGAGATTAATGATCTAGGGTAGGTAACGGGCTTTATTTTGATGCCATGCTCTTGTGTTGAATGTGCTTACTATAAATGTGATGTATATCATATACCAGTGATACAGGTATCATCAGAGGTTGACCAGAGTTGTGCACAGAAACAAAGTGCAAGCTAAGGCTTGAAGAATATCCAAAATGCAAGAGAAACAAAACAGTTTATTAAAAAAAAAAAAAGATAATGAGCTATTAATTGAGTATGAAACTGAAGGCTTGAGGAAGTGAGCTTAGAAGGCTGAAAATTCTTGACCCTTTTCATAAGGCCTTGCTGGTCTAAGGAATACAGAGTACATTAGATGAGTAACGTCGGGTATCTTTGTGCTGTGCACCCAAGCAGTTTGTTTGAAGATGGGTTGAATAACCTCATATGTGATACAGAGACCTGCATCTCTTTGCATTGAGGACAAGCTACTTTAAAACTGGAAAATAAGTCATTTTATTCAAGATCCTTGCTTTTGTTCCATGCATGTCTTGTTCTCTTTTCTGGACTTTATTTCAGAGAGGTTGCTGACTAAGAAGACACTGAAAGATGGGTGTGATACCTGGGCATGGTGGTATCTTCTCTATCTTCTTCGGGTCATGGGGTTGGTGCATGTAATCTCCTATCATCCAAGGCTGATGGTAAACATTGCCACAAAGATGATACAAATTCCCAGTTGACTTCAGTTTAAAAAGAGGATTTGACTTCTCTATTTTTCTGCTTGGATTTGGTAGTACAATGCCAGAAGAGTTACTGTGATTTATTGTGTTCCATCTAGGTTTCTCTTCTACAGCCATCCCAATGATGTCAGAATGTCCTCCAGACTTAGTACCAATAAAAAAGAGTAGAAAACAAGACTAGCAACTGTCAAATGGGGCTCCCTCTCCATACCTGCCTACAAACCTTTCCTTTGGGGGGAGAAGAAGAGGAGAATAGCATGTGAGTTCTTTGACTTTAATGTTTTGTGCATAAATTAACATGCTTTCTTGTGTGTGTGTGTGCATGTGTGCTGAGTTATGGCATGTAGAGCAGAAAACTCTCTGGTTTTTGCAAGGCTTGGCTTGTAGTATATTCCAGCTTCTGTGGAAGGATATTATAAACTTGGACTGTCTATGAGAAAGTCTTGATTTGAGGGGTGAGTTTTCATTTTGACAATGAACATCTCTCTTGTTTGAAAAGTTAAAGCTTTTCAAGACATTCAGACCCGTCGGGGCTGAAGCACTGTTTTATCTTAAGCCTTATCCTGGGTGGATGAATTGCTCAGAAATGAGGACCGAGGTCTTTTAGATTATATCAGGTCCTCAGTGAACTATTTTGGTGTTGGAAACACTAAGCTCTTCAGGAGAGTGTGTTCTGGTGGACCATAAGACTGAAAAACAAACCCCTCAAATAAGTGACCCAGAGCAGAAAGAAAATCCAACTGCTGGAGCTACACACATTCGCCAGGTCAGGAAATCTGAAGATGTGGAAGAGTGTTTTAGAAATTTGTCCTACTTCAGCATGTCTTAATTATCACTGCTATGCAATTTGATTTTCTAGTGACTTTTTTTTTGTTTGTCTGTTTGAATGGCATTAATCTTCCTGCACTTTTTTTTTTTCTCTTTTTGTGCCAGAGTCAGGAGCTGCTCACAGCAGCAGAAACACAGGAATAAAACACAAGAAATAAAAATTTTGCTATTGATCATGTTTAAAGTATGTTTTTGCAAGAAGTCAAATTGAGAGGCTTCTCATGCTGCACTGCAGGTTCAAAATGAAAGGTTGATATTCATCCTTGCTAAATGAAGTGATAGTTATATTTTGAATAGAACTTCATTTTCTTTTTACTTACTTGCTAAAAACACAGAAAACAGCATAGATTCTGTATAGTCATGAAGAGCTCTGAAACAAGTTTAATTTTTTTATTTCAACAAGACAGAAGAAATTAAATTTTTTTTTTTTTTTTTTTTTGCACCCTCCTCAAATCAGCTTCAGGTTTCCTTGAAGAGTGAGGAAACGGTCAAATTAAGAGTAAGGAATTGATTTAATTAGAAATACTGAAGAGATGGGCTCTTTGTTTTAAGATTTTTGCTTTTCCTTGTTTTAAGATTTCATGAATTTTATATATATATATTTTTGTTTTAGGGCTGTTAAACGCAAGTGCCTGTGTTCAAATACTCCATCACATTATTTTTATTTTATTTTTTTTTCTAGGAAAAGTGCAAAATGTTTCAAATTCCTGTTCAAAATCTTGATAATATCAGGAAGGCTCGAAAAAAGGTGAAGGGCATTCTTGTGGATATTGGGCTTGACAGCTGCAAGGAATTGTTGAAGGTAAAGCATTCGAGGCATGTGAAAAAAATTGGAAGTTTGCATTTCCAACCTTTGAAAAAAACTTTCACTGTTTGTGTAATATTCCTTTACCGTAGATATTTATGATGAGGTAAAGGAAAGAAAACTGTTTTGAAGAATTGCTCAAGTCTGACAATATTTATATACTAGGGGTGGAACTTCGAGTTTCCGGCAACGTTATGTGCTAAAACACTATTTCTCCACAAGATGTGTTATAGATGGTGCTGCATACTCTGCTAGTAATATTTCAGCAAAAGGAAACACTACAGATTCAGGTAAAACACTATTAATAAAATATTACATGTCCACAAATACTTCTCTCCCCTTTTCAACTCAAAAGCAAATGAAGACTTGAATCTTCACAGAATCATTATGGTTGGGAAGGACCTTTAAGATCAAGTCCAAATCTACTTGGAGATTAAATGTTCTTCCTGCGCTTGTCAAAGGGAAATCTCTGAAGGATGTACAATTTGTCAGCACTTGCACATAGCAGAAATGAGATCCAATAATCTGTTTCAGGCTTTTAAAACTGCTTTCAGGAAGAATACCCAGTTTGGCTCATTGAGCTGTAGTCCAGATCAACAACATCTCAAAGCCTATGCAAGTGAACCGAGATGATGAAGGTGAACCTGGGACCATCGTGGTCACTTTGGGTGAAACGAGCAGGAAGAATTTCCTCCAGCGGACTGGACAACCTAACACTCGAGAAGTGCAAGTGTAGTGAGCTGCTTTGGGAGACTAAGCAGTAGCCTTTAAGCCAGCTCTTGCAGAGACTCTTCAGCCTGCTCGACATAGTCATGAGCTCGTGTAAAGGTTTGGGTCAGTTCTGTGGTACTGAAAGGAAAAGGATAAAGAGAGGGGGGCAGGAAACAAGGATTGGTGGTGTCCCTTATGGTACCACTCCTCATTATATCGTGTTGAACTTACTGCTCTTAAGCAGGAAGCTTTTCTCACTAAACCCTTGAAATTAAAAATACTTTACCAATGCTAGTTTTCTTGCCGTAAAATTAGTGGAAGCAGCCAAGTCCAGGTTTTTGTTGGAACTAATGAAGATTAATAGTGAATAAGGCTGTCTTTAAACAGAGACAAAACAAAAACCAGCGAACGTTCCTTATGAAATAAACTATGGGAAGTATGGACCAAAAAAGCAGTGTTTTGGGGGAAAAAAAGTGGTTTTGATGCAGAAGAGCAAGAGATGTCAGTTTAGAAGTCCTGTTTTTGTGTTTCAGAAATGTCCACAGTGCATCATGATTAGTAAGGCTTCTCAAAGGTTTTGTTCTGTTTTTCTTCCGTCCCCAAAATAAGAAATCTGGGAAGAGTATAACCAATTTAGCAAATCAAAGCTTTCTTCTGGGTTTTCAGTGTTTGTTTTTGCAAAGGGGAGCAGTTTGAAATGGGCCACTGGTAGCACTTACCCCATGATAATGTCACTCTTTTCTGGTTTTAAGTGTTTTTTTTTCCTGTACGAAACAGGTGTTTTGGGGAGGGGAAAAAAAAAGTTTAGACTTATCATGAGCATCCATTGCCTATTGGGTTTTGGAAACTAGAGATCTGGTCTAATTCCTAAGGGTTTCTCTGTGGTGGAGAGATCCAGGAAAAATGTGTGGTTGTCCTGTGATGTGGTGGTGGTTTGTGTTGTTAATGGACTGTGCAGTTCGCTTGAGGGAGCTTGCCTGGAAGTTGTCAGTCTTACAGTAAGTCTTGAGGCTTTTCTCTTGATAGAGCCTTTAAGGCTCTAGGGTTAGTTCTGTTTAAGGTCATGTATTTCTAGGAACACTTAGTTTGAGGACAAGCGATAACTTCTCTCCCCAACCCCAAGTATCTAGATCTTAATTCCAATGGGAGAAGTTTGTTTATGTTAGCCCAGAGCTCTTCAAGTTCTCCCCCGGGGAAACCTCCCAGTTGAAGAAGCTAGAAAGCCTGTTAAAAACTTAGCTACATTTTTTTTTCTAATCTGTTAATAAACCCTAAAACGTATTTCAGAATAAAATCGTAACTCTCTGTGCCATTGTAGCCTATTGCTTGGATTCCAGCCGTGTCCAGGTTCCTGCTACATAGACAAAAGCTGAATGTAAAAAGAGCCTGCATGTAACGGGCATCGTGTATTTGTTTGACTGTTGCAAAACTTGTTGCCTTTCAGTGTTTGTTGTTGCTGCACTGTACCCTAGGCTGCTTGTCAGCTCCACAGAGTGAGCTGTATATATATATATATATATTTTTTTTTTTTTTAAACTGCATACTATTAGATTTATTTTTGGGGGGGAAGGGAGCAAAAATTAACTCATCTTCAGGAAATGTAGATTTCTAATTTTTAATACTTTCATTACTTATTTCAACTGAAAACATCTCGCTTTCAAAGCATCATGTGGAGTAGTTCAGAAAGGAGGACTGAAGCATGGGTCTCAGAAAATGGTATATGACTTGGAGGCTTAAACTGCTCTTAGGTGAAATTGGTTAAGGGATGTTAAGGGCCGTACTGGTCACTGCATATGCCATTGTGTTACTGTTCATAAGTGTTTCTTGGGAACTTTCTCTGGAAAGCTTCTGGAAATGCCTTTACAGGCAAAAGCGCAGTGATAGCATGCACTACTGCTAGAACATGTTGCAAAATAACCTGTAGTGCAAGTTAAGAAATGGAAGTAAATGCAGACATGCTATAGATTTAGGAGGAAGAAGGAGAAAGGATCTTCAGTGTTCTTTGAACTCAACTAGGAGATGAAATAATGTAGAATGGAAAATACACTATTCTGTGTAAAAGAAGTGTTGAGAATTTCAGCCATGTAGCATGAGCTGGTGTTTGAGGAAAACTGAATAAGGGACAAAGAACCAATTTCTCTCAACTGGGTTTTGAGACTCCCTGGTATGTTTGAGACTGGTGAGACCCTTCATATGTTTTGTGGGTCCCCCTGACCCTGCTCTGTAGTTAGACTATGTTCTTGTAATCTGAATGGACCTACAAAGCAGACAGACTTGATGTCTTGTGTTCTGGTTTTCTTTCAGAATCTTAAAAGTTTTGACCCAGGTGAAAAGTATTTTTCCAACACTTCATGGAGTGATGTCTCTCTGTGGGAGTCCGTGGGCAAAAGAAAGGTATGTATGATGTTTGTGCTAGAGGATGTGAGCAGACCTGCATGTGCAGTTGTTACTATTTAACCATTTTCAGAAGTCCTGATGACTATAAAACACTTCTGGTAGTTAAAAATAAAAAAGTAGCTTTAAGATTATTTATTTTCTTCTAAATACTGCGTGCAAGAAAATGCTGCTTGCATTGTCTCAGTCGTCTTTGCTTTCGCAGAGCTGGTCCTAAGGGCTGTTTTATGCTGTTGGGAGTCCCTAAAGATATGGCCTTGCGCACTGGTGGTGTCCAGGTGTCACAGGAATCTTCCGCCTTTTTGGCGACCAGTAATGTGTGGCCCTAGCGTTTTGTGTAGCTGGGCTGTTGGAAGCAGGAATCGGGCGGGGGGTGGAAAAGTCTCTGTTAGGAACTCACTGGAATACACAGTTATTAAGGCTCTAACTAAAGGACAGGAGAACATCCAGGAGAAAGGGCTTCTGAATCTTGCTGCTTCCTGAGAGCTTCCATGTGGAGGGACTGTCTGCGTCCCATGGCCCCATCTTTTCATTTGAGGAAGTGTCTGTTTTAGGACAGCCCGGTGTTTGGTCAGTTTTTTGCCCAAGTCTGACTTTAGCAGCGTGTCCCCTCCCCACTGCATCTCTGCCTGCCCCGTGTCCTGTTCCTTTCCTCCCCCGGCCTCAGGGCCCGTTGTTCATGTGTGCTTGGGGGCGAAAGGCTCGAACACAACATGTTTTCCTCTGGCTCTGGAAGTCTCTACCTAACTCCTTATCGCCACCTCAGATAAGGCCTACGCTTACCTGCAGCCAGGCTGCTTTCATTTGGGTAATGGCTTCAGCCCTGTCAGCGGGGACGACAGGGCTCCGGGCAGTATTATCTGCACTATATCCCTGCATTTTTTCCAGTTTCCTCTTCCTTCTTACTAAAGAAAATCACCCTTGAAAGATCTTCTGTATTTGGTGAACAAGGGAAGCTTCTCCCCTATCCCTCTAAGACATGTACAGGGAAGAAGAGGGTGAAGATGGAGCAAACGTTTTCCTGTCTAAGACCTAGGCTGTGTGTCTGTTTTGTCCTCTCCTGCCCTCTTTCAAGCCAGCACTGGAATGTGATCTGATAAACCTCACTGCAGAGTGCTAATTTGCCAAGGATGCTTTTCAGTACAAAGCTTCTTCCTGCCCGCTTGTTTAAACCAGCCTTATTTCCTTCATTATGGATTGTTCACTTAGCTTGTCTTGGTGCTACCTAGATTTGGGAGAAGGGAAGTTGCTTCTTCACTATATTCTGTTCTAAACTTGTTGCAGTAAGGAAAAAGTCAACTGAGCTGCTGTCACGGAACAAGTGGTGGCGGGGGTGAGTGACAAATGCACTTCACTCGTATGAAAGAAATAATAACAGGATTTATTGATATGGACAATGATTTCCCGAGATTCTATGGCAAGGTCACTCATTATTCACTGCATGGAGGCTCAAGATAATACACAATTATCTTGGGATACCCTCCCGTTGGGTCACGAGGTTCAGATTGGACCCCCTTGCTTTCCAGGCTCCTTCTGAGAGGAGGCTGCGTGCAGCTGGATCCAGTCCTAGTCCCAGACCTGGCCAACGGTTTATGACTAAGGGTTCTTGTGCACAGTTACAAAGTAAAGTTAAAGAGAGCGCGCTATGTTCATTACCACAAATCTGTCGTGGGAAGGGGGGTCTCTCAGCCTCGAGGAGTAACCTTGAGAGGTGTCCCTGCTCCAGGGGAGATCCTGCTGTGCAGGCCGCAGCCGTGTCAGGAGAGCTCAAGGGGCTCTCGGGCTGTCCGCATATTTATAGGATAAGATGATTGACTTATAGTCATTCTTTCATTTCAGAGGCCCATTGGCTAGTGCACTAGCCTTACCTCCCCGTTGGGATGCAGCCTTCAGGAAGGTTATGTTGAGTCTAAGTGGCAGAAGAAACCAGGACGGTGGCGCCTACCAGGATTAGATAAATGGCTGGTGGTCAGCAACTGAACAGGGCTGCATGTAAGGTACAGGCCAGGYTGAGCTGGGAAAGGAGCGTATCCATCACACTCCACCCCGTGACTATAGTCAATCCATCTTATCCTATAAATACGTGGACAGCCCGAGAGCCCTTTGAGCTCTCCTGGCACGGCTGCGGCCTGCACAGCAGGATCTCCCCTGGAGCAGGGACACCTCTCAGGGATACTCCTCGAGGCTGAGAGACCCCCCTTCCCACGACAGATTTGTGGTAAGTGAACATAGCGCATTCTCTTTCTTTAACTTTACTCTGTAACTGTGCACAAGAACCCTTAGTCATAAACTGTTGACCAGGTCTGGGACTAGGACTGGACTCAGCCGCACCCAGACTCCTCTCAGAAGGAGCCTGGAAAGCAAGGGGGTCCAATCTGAACCTCGTGACCCAACGGGAGGGTATCCCAAGATAATTGTGTATTATCTTGAGCCTCCATGCAGTGAATAATGAGTGACCTTGCCATAGAATCTTGGGAAATCATTGTCCATATCAATAAATCCTGTTATTATTTCTTTCATACGAGTGAAGTGCATTTGTCACTCACCCCTGCCACCACTCGTTCCGTGACAGCTGCATCAGAAACCAATAGGCTGGAGAGCATTTCTGTTCAGATTAGTCTGTGGTTTCTATCATCACTACTGTTTTTATGAAGGCTTCCGTAATTCTGGAAGAACTAGGATTTTTAGAGGTTGCTGTGTCTTTCTGCTAGTCTCTTTAAGTTGCAGGGAATGAGAGACTGCAGAGTAGAAAGTGTCACTGTATCCTGGGATGTGGTCTGTCAGTGGGATTAACTTGCTTTTTCTTCCCTAAATATTTGCTCTGGAGCGTGTGTTTGGGTGTCATTCCTGCAGTTTAGCGTTGTGCTGGTCCAACGGTGCTAGTTGGCTGAGATGCCATGGACAGACAGCAGAACAGCAGCACTTGCACACATGAGTAGCAGCCTAGACGTGTGTGCGGGCAGAACCCGCTCGCCACGTAGTTAAGGTGCCTCTGTGGAAGAGCCCTATTTCATGAATGGTTAAAGTAATACATTTCTGCCGTGCTTCTGTCATCCAAAACACTTTTTTTTCCTATTCCTGAGGCTTCATGTTGCTCAGATCTCCGTCAAAAAGTAAACAAATCTTCTAAGAAGACATAAAGAGATATTTCTGCTTGTCTTACCGGTATGCACTTAATGGGGTCGTTTTTTTGATGTCATTTACTGCGATGTTTGTAGAAGAAGTAAAACCACTTTTTTTACTTCAGAATAGTATATCAGTTTAGCACTTGAATCACTTGTAACATAACAGTACTTTTTTCCAGCATGCTGCTCAGTAGCCAAGCCAGACAGTGGCATTATCAGATCAAAATCTAACTTCCAGATTCATAGGCTCTAATCTGGACCTGCTTTAGTGCAGCTAGCAGAGGATCTTCCTGGCCGCGTGAAGTGACCGACTGAATCGCTGCCAGTTTCTGCTTCAGTTCGTCCCCTTGTGCCTGTGCGCCCGCGCGTGGGTGGTGCAGCCACCCCGGGTGCTGTGGTGCAGGAGCAGCTCGCGGGGCTTTTCGGGTGGTGGTTTTCCAAGTGCTGACTGTCAGTGCGGCGTAACTCGCGTTGGAAGGAGCAGGCAGGGGCCACTAGATGCCTGAGGGCGCACGTGTGGCGCTTGCGGGTGGGTTGCTGTAGTTTCTGGCAGAAATCAGAGCTAACTTGCTAGCAAGTTGGTAAGAAAAGTAAGTTTTTCTTAGAGCGCTACTGTTTGTTTGTGTGTATGGATAGGAATATGAAAAGTCATGCTTGAAAATGATTTTTTAACATAATAAAAATATTTCTCCTAAATTCTGAGTGGAATCCACACAGTTATGAGTGTGCAAGTTAATTTCTTAAAGAAATTACAGTAATGGGATATGTAGTATAGTGAGATACTTGGAGGAGGTCATTATTACTTCAGCTTCTGCTTTTAAGAAGCAGAGGTGTTTCTTAAAAGCTTTCAGTAAAGGACAAGATATTGAAATATTCAAAGAACCTTTTTTTTCTTTAGTAAATAGGAGATGGCTCTGTTACCTCTTCACTAAAATGTGAAAAGCTCCTTTTTAAAAGGGCTCCTACTGCTCATTGCTAAGGATCCACTTCCATGTGCTGTGGCATGGAAATTCCTCGTTACTTGTTTGGTGTTCGACTCCCCTTTCATAAAACCGGCTTCCGAATTTCCTGGCCCAGCTTAGAACAGAACCCCCATACGGCTTCCTTATCAAGAAACAAAAAGGGCATAAATGTTTCTCCCTTTTTAAGTATGCCCTCTTAAAGTCTGCTTTCCGGAAACAGGTCTCCATGAACCTGAGAAGGTGTGTGCTGTACAGCCAGTGAAGGCATTTGGGACAGGTGATAGCGCAGACGTATTTTCTCACGGACCACAGGGCTGTAGAGAGGTGGCCTTTCCTGAGCGAGTGTTTCTGTTCCGTTTGCAGAGATACCGAACCAAGCCCTACTGCTGCAGCTTGTGCAAGTTCTCTTCCAAATTGCTTACTTCCTTCAAGAACCACTTGCACCGTTACCATGAAGATGAAATGGACCAAGAGCTGGTGGTTCCTTGCCCGAAATGTGCATTCGCTTCTGATCCCAAAATAGTGGGAAAGCATATCCGGATGTTTCACTCGGCGAATAAGAGAATACAGAACTATACAGTCAGCATTTTGGATGGCATGAAACAGTTCAGGAGTGACATCATAAACTTTACGTGTCTAAAATGTCACTTTACAGACACCTTATATTACAATATGAAGAAACATGTGCTGATGAACCATTTTCAGAACCTGATTGGTGTCTATTTTGGCCAGAGATTCGCAGAAAGTGAAGCGTTCGCGTTGGAGCACTACTGCAAGAAATGCAACACCGCTGCAAACAGCCAGGATTCTTTAATGTATCACATCTTGACCTCTGAAACGCACAGGGACCTGGAGAACAAGCTGCGCTCCGTGATTTCGGAGCACATTAAGAAGCCGGGGCTCGTGAAGCAGGTGTACATCGCTCCGAAGCTGCCCGCCGCCGTGGCTGTGGCCGGCCCCGCTTGCGTCCAGCTCAGCTTTCCGCCGAGCGGCCAGGGCCCGGCCGTGGTGCAGGCGAAAGCAGCAGTTGCCAACGCGGTCGGCTCGCAGGCCGTTCCAAGTGCCTCCGGTAGCCTTCCCCCTGCGGCTCCTGCTCCCGTGGTGCCTGCGTCGCACGTCACGCTGGTGTCCGGCAGCCTTCCCGTGGGCCAGAACACCGTGAACCTCCAGCCGCCGCCATCGCAGCCGATCATCGTTTCCCACGGGCTCCCTCTTAACCACTCTGTCGGGACCCTGAACAGAGGCGTGGCCCCCGCCGTCCTCCCGCTCAACGCACCCGTCAGGCCTGGGCTTTTCCCCCTTAACCAGCCCATTGGCACTATAAACGCTCCCGTTGCAGCGGGGGCTCTGCCCGTGGCGCAGCCCATTAGCCCCGTGAACCAGCCGGTCGCGCCGGGCGTTCTGGCCGTGGGCCCCTCGCTGGGCACCGTGAGCCGGCCCCTGGCTCCCCAGGTGCTGCCCGTGGCGCAGCCGGTTGCCTCGGGCGTCCTGCAGCTCAACCAGCCCGTCGCGCCCGGAGCGGTTCCCGTGAGGCCGCCCGTGAAGCCGGGCTTCCTGCAGCTCAACCAGCCCGTGGCGCCCGGAGTGATCCCCGTGAACCAGCCGGCGCAACCGGCCGTTTCCCAGAGCGCCACTTTCCTGGCGGCAGGCCCCATCCTGAGGCAGCTCATTCCCACGGGCAAGCAGGTGAACGGCATCCCCACGTACACGCTGGCCCCGGTGTCGGTGACGCTGCCCGTGCCGGCCGGCGGCGCCGTGGCCACGGTGGCGGTGCCGCCGCAGGTGCCGCTGCAGCTGGTGCCGCCGGGCGCCGTGGCGCAGCTGGCGCAGCCGCCGGCCGGCGCGCCCTCGCCGCCCGCGCTCGCGGCGCCGCAGGCCCCGCCGCCCGACGGCGGCCCCGCCGTCAAGCAGGCCAAGCAGTGGAAGACGTGCCCCGTGTGCAACGAGCTCTTCCCATCCAACGTCTACCAGGTGCACATGGAGGTCGCTCACAAGCACGGTGAGATCAAGGTCGAGGAGAACCTGGAGCCGGATAAGCTCGCGGCCTGCGCCCCGTTTCTGCGGTGGATGACGGAAAAGACCGTGCGCTGCTTCTCATGTAAGTGTTTCCTGTGCGAGGAGGAGCTCATGAAACACCTCCTGATGCATGGTTTAGCTTGCTTGTTTTGCACACTGACTTTCCATGACTTAAAAAGCCTTGTGGAGCACAATAAGGCTACCCACAACGGGAAGAAGAGGGTACACGCGGATTACAGCAACAGAGGGTTTCAGCTGGACAACGATGCCCAGGGCGACCTCGTGTTTCCACATTTCGATTTCAGCACGGTGTTACCAAAAGAAGACGTCGGGGAGAACGAGGTGCACCTGGCGGTGCTGGCGGGAGTCAATTCGAGGACGCTTGTCCCCGTCTACATCAAAGTGACGCCTCAGACGGTGGAAGTCAAAACGAGGCGCAGCAGAGCGTTAACGTGTCCCTTCTGCTTTGGCAAGTTCGGCAAAGAGGCCTACGAGATGCACTTGAAGGAGAGGCATCACGTCATGCCCACTGTCCACACCATCCTGAAGTCGCCCGCGTTCAAGTGCATCCACTGCTGCGGCGTGTACACCGGGAACATGACGCTCACGGCCATCGCCGTGCACTTGCTGCGCTGCAGGAGCGCCCCCAAGGACAGCAACTCCAGCGTGAAGCTGCAGCTGGAGCGCAGCGAGAAGAAGGAGCTGCTCTTCCTCAACGGCGACAAGCACGAGGCCGCCGCGCTCAAGAGGAAGCAGCCCGAAAGCTGCTGCTTGGCCGACGAGCAGAGGGGCAGGGAGCAGCAGCCGCCCGCGCTGAGCTCTGGCCTGTCCCCAGACCTGGAGGGGAGCTCGGGGCTGGCGCCGTGGAAGCGGCACAAGGGCCACGCGCGGACCGAGCCGAGGAGGCTCTATTCCAGCGAGGAGCTGCGCGCGCTCGCCCTCGACCCCCAGCAGTACGAGCACGGCTCGCACGAGGCGCAGAAGCGGCTCCTCACGGATTACTTCCACAGGAGGCCCTACCCCGCCAAGAAAGAGGTGGAGTTGCTCTCCTCGCTGCTCTGCGCCTCCAAGGTGGACGTGGCCACCTTCTTTGGGAAAAGGAGGAGCATGTGCTTGAAGGCCATAAGAAGGCACAGACCCTCCGTGCTGCTGGGGTTCAGTGTTTCCGAACTAAAAAATGTTAAGCACAGTTTGAGTATCAAGGATGAGCCATTGGATGTGTGAGGGGGTGGGAAGCGGCTCCAGGCCGATCCGCGCCTGCCTGCTTCCCGTTGGGCCATCCGTCCTGCTCGGGTTCTTTGTGTCAGCTTGCAGACTGGCCTGCTGAAGGGCTGCAGGAGCGTAAGGGTCTCCAGCAGTTGGGACTGTTCTTGTGAAAGGCACGCGTCGTCGTGTATTGGCAAAAGCTGAAACCTTCGGATTTACACTTCTGGAATTTATTTTAGCTTTTTATATTTTCTGGAGTAGAAATATTTTTATTTTGTGTTCTGTGTTGGTGCTTTTTTTTTTTTTTTCCAGT